AGTAGGAATGACGTCATTAGAAAGAATACTTGACTAGATCCCGTTCGACATGGTGAGCTACTAGATCCTGAAGCCGAAGGTGCGTGGTTTAGTAGCCAAAAATAGAGACATACGAGTTGAGATGTGTCTTTATACAGATATCTACTCTCGATTTGCTAGAAAGTCCAGAGCTGATTTTCGTAACCAGGTTAGATAGGGGGAGGTTTCGGAGCAGCGGGCAAGATTTTTACGCGTACGCTTGAATTCTGCTCTTAGTTTAGTTTGCTGTTAACGGTGTCTGTTTGCAGGACATTTGTGAATTGGAGCACCTGGTAACCGATCAAGTATCAAGAAAACCTTTTGAATAGTAATAAATTTAGAATGTGTTCTATAACAAAAGTGCTCAACTATACTACAAATACTAACCTTAAACAAGAAAGCCAAATATGTGTAATCAATAAAATGGAAGCATGGATAGTAGCATCAGTATGCATGCATCAATGGATGGATGTAAGCATGTATATAGAACAGTGCATATGCCTACAACTCTCTGCACACATGCATGCAAGTCCGTGTGCAAGGAAAACAAAGCGTGTGCATGAACCCGGTTAGACTTTCTTTAGTGTCATTTGAAGAACTCTGAAACATGCAATAAAACTATATGTATCCATGCATGCAAGGACATAAGATGATTCACATCAATTTTCCAAAACTCGTCAAAAATCCTAAAGAATAAAAACCAATGAAATTATGATATTTTTGAGATATGGAAAACAATTTTTGCTATCATGTATGTTGAGAACAATCGCATAGTACCAGAGGTATTTCTGTATGGATAATATCATAACTAAATAAGGAGTCCACAACTATTGATGCCAATGTGTCCAGCACAAAAGAAGATGATTTTCAATATGAATAATTTCTTATTGGTTCTCATGCACCAAAACATTCCTTCTGACTTTATGTTATCTATCATGGAAACTAAAATGAAGAAAGATAAACAATTAGTCCTCCAAAATTCTCAAATATACCTTTCCATACTTCTTATCTGATTGTCCTGCTGAAATACTTGACTTATTTTCTAATAGACTTCACCAATTTATGCCAGTAATTGGTAAAATGACAATAACAGACTACACGCTTTATAAATTACACAATGATCAAATATTGCCCGCCTACACTTCTATGGTTAATTGCAATAGGGGCGGGAGGGTTTCTCAGAAGGGTTGCTTTGGAGCGGCTTATAAGCTCTCAAATTTTATCAATAATAACTCCTCGTTCTGATATATATTTTAGGGTAGTATTCTTTAAGAATGACATATTAAGCCCCAATATCACTCATAATCAATAAAATCACCAAAAAGTAATTCATTTCTACTTTGTAGAAAAAAACTAAAAAGAAATACTTATTCCCAAATCTCACCTGAATCCCAAACCAAGGGGAACTACTTTTATTCCTAAACTATGGATGGAACAATCTGTGGCCATATAAGAAAACACGCAACACTTCAATCAAAATTTTTTATTTACTGCATTACAAACATGATCAAAATCAACGCATTTACTACATAGATCAGAAACTCAACTGCTACCAGCAAGGGCAGTGTCATGAGAAAACCAATTTATCAGCAGTGGAAACTCATCTTCTCGTCTTCTAGTTCAAACACAATATTTCATCTCGGGTCCTCTCTATCTCATGTTCATCCTTTGTTCTGTTTCCCGGATCTACATTTCAGAAGGTATCAAGTGAATTCATGTCAGTCACTAAACCTGAAGATTTCAAGTCCATCTCATTTTCTATTCATCCCAGCTCCTTAATGTTACACGTATTTATAATTTAAATTTCTTATCACCCATAAACAGATGGTCAAACTTAGGAAATTAATAGGAATTTGAGTGATCTATTACATTATCTGATTAAAGAAAGCACATCTTAGTGGGCTCCGATACTGACTCAATCTGCATATAATTCATTTGGTAATAGGTGTTATGGGCATGAGTACATCTAAACTTATCACAGGTTATTAAATTAGAAAACACAGATATTTTTTAACTTCATATTGAATCTACATCAAGTAGCTTTGCGCAATTATTTGCAAAAAATATGCATGATAAAGATAAATACATTTGTTGGAAACTAACAATTAACCAAAAAAAAAAAATCATATTGTCAAACATGAGTCATCAGGAATTCAAAACCAAATAATAAGGTAATGGTGGATTTAAATCAAAAAGATGTATAACAAATTGGGACAAATTTTATAAATTGGAAATCCGTGATAATACTAATATCAGTTTGATATTTAACAAATTTGATTTGACTTTATTTTATGAACATAGTGTCGGTACTATTGATTTTCTCTCCTTCATCCCCTCCTAAATTTACAAAAACACATTAACAAATAGGCCTCCCTAGCTCGTTGCTGAAGCTATTATGGATAATGAGATAGTATCACTATTGATGGCGGATGTAAGACTTTACTCATACAATGTCATGACAAACTTACTTGTGATGACTCATGGATCACACTACAAGAAGCACAATAATTTATGCTCATATTTGCTAGGTGAATAACAAATGCTTAATTCATCATTAATATAGAAGTGTACACTTGTCAAATGCATTCGAAGTGCCGAGCATTATAAATTTTACATTGTATTTTATTTTTGTTGGTTATTTCGTGTAAACCATTCCTATTATAATGATTCTCATATGAATAGGATATGTTCTCTAGTATTTTAAGTATTTCGTCAAGACTAGTTCAAAATAGCAAGATTTCAACTGAACCCATAAATTTCAAGTCATTACACCTAGAATTTATATCCAATTCAATAATTAATATGATGAGAATTAGAAGGATAAAAGTTAATGGAATATCACACCATATTTCTTGTTATTGGTTCCCATACCTTAAAAATCTGCTGGCTCCTTTCCAGCTTCCTTTCGCTACTTTGATTCCCGCTTCATTGCTTCCCATTGTTATCACCTTTGATTTTGTCAACAAAAACTCGGATTCCCTCTTTAATGTTTCCCACTACCCATGCCTTCACTATGTGCTAGTTCCATTGATATTGTTTCTGAGATCTCTTCTTCTGCACTGTCAAATTTGACTTCTTCCTTTCCACCTAAATTTTCTTGATAGTTTTATACCAGCAAATTCCATACATTTTCCACAAATAGTGAGCTTCTCTCACTATTAACAATAGATGTATATAACATGGTTTAATCACTATAAACCATGGTGTCATTATGTAATTGATGTGTTATTCTTTCTTTGTAGTTCATATACACTAAATCATTTCTCCAACTATTATTACATATTTGCAACTTGAACATTTAACTCATTAGGGAGAGAATAAATCCGTTAATGAAGATTACGAATATGCATTTAGAATTATTTGATTACAAGGCCATACCACAAAGTGCATCAACGCCATACAAAATCATGAATTTTGTTTTCATATAGTTGGCAATGCTTTTTAAGACTAATGATACAGCCAGAAACTAAAAATAATAATATTTGTTGCTCACATCACAAACTACACATTAGATTTTCCTTCTCAATTATTTTAAGTAAGAGTTAACCATGATTTCACTCGAAGCTTTCAACGCAATTCTTGGGGGCAGGTAAATCTTATGATTGTGTTAGATCCATTTTTTTGCCCTTTTAAGGTTTTAATGAAATTTGATTAGTGAGGGGAGGCAAGGTGGTGTCAATCCAAGGCATTTATCTAGTGCAGAATTTGCATTCCTGTATCGCTGCCTACAAGACATTGGAGTTATCACAAGCCCACAACCTTCTTTATTATTGTTGTCATATTGCTCACTAGAAGAACTATTGTTGTTACTACAATAGTTCTTTGATATCATGCCAGACTGCTTCCTCATCATGCTAAGCATGACTATCCTCACCACCCTTGAGTTTTAACCATCATCCACTCCTTCCTCTAACCTCATTTTAACCACCACCGGTCACACTTTTCATGCGTCCCATCATAGACTTTCCGTTAACGAACTATTTTAATATACATATAATATTCATTTGAAACCAAAATTCTCAAACAAGA